GAGAGAGAGAGAGAGAGAGAGAGAGAGAGAGAGAGAGAGAGAGAGAGAGGAGGGAGGGAGAAGTACACTGTCCATTTAAGGTTGCACTTGTCAAGTAAATTCAACCCAGTCAGTCTATTTTTAAATCAGCCACCCCCTCTATCCCCCAATTTTAATTCAATAGATTTTTCTTAACATTTATACAGTTGTGTTTCTAAAAATTTTAAACCTATTTGTCAGTCACATCTAACATAAGAAATGTCCTATTTTTGTTTGATAATGTACAAAATTCAAGAACCACTGGCTTCTGAAAACTTTCTATTGAGTAGAAATTACTACAGTTTAACTGTTATTTAGAGGAAATATTTGTGTGACGTGTAATAAACTCTATTACAGGAAAAACACCCTAAAATTTATTTGAAACGTTTATTACAGATGTTCCAAAACATGAACAAAGTATAAGCATATGTATATTGACTCATCCATTCCAGGAAGAATTGTAAAAAGAGTTTGGGTTACAAGCAGATACACCTGTGTTTGAACTCGAACTGCCTATTAATACATGTGTGATATTACACCAGTTATTAACATTTATGTCTTCTTACTCATTGGTAACATGGGATTAAAACAGACTGTCATTTTGAAGATTAAATGAGGTAAAGTATGTGACATGATTAGCACAATGTGGTATAGATTGTAAACATTCAGTACATTGCTTTTCATTTTAGTGCTATTATAAAAATTGTCTTTCAGTTTATTCACATATAGAAATTACTCTTCCAAAGACTTACAATCAACCTCAAATTTAAAAATCTGAACAGCAAATTAATACTGTTTCTTGAAATAGTTGCATTTCACCTAACTTCTGAAAAATAAATACTGCCTTACAACAAATGCTTCCGTCATATCAGGTAGTCAAAATTGAACCTCTCAAGTCAAATTTGAAATCTATTAGAAAACAGCGAGTTGAGGGCATTCCAGGCATTATCACACACCAGCAGGGGTATTTCTTCAGAGGGTTGAAGGACAACTTTTTCCTTTACAACAATGTCAGTATTTGGTGGACCTTAAATATTACTAGAATATCCTAGTATCTCCACTGATATTCTATATCTATAGAATATCTATAATATTTTAGTATACCTCCCTAATTCAAAACATTAGGAATTTTCTTTTGTCCTTGGTTCTACACCATCTCCCAGACTTTGCTCTCTTTTTTCTGTTTTTACTGCTTCCCTACATTCATGATGACACTAAGAATAGCTACCACTCATTTCAACACTTCCATTTCAAAAAGACTCCTTTACATCCAACAAGTCCTTCCCTGAATATTCCTTTTGATTTTGGCTTAAGCAAACTCTGGCTCTCCCTGAAGGACATGGCTTGCTTTGATGCCCTCAGAATGGATGTTGTCCATTTCCTCCAATTTCACATGCTCAGGGTTGAGAGTGAGGTCCCTGGTCTGTCGCTGCCTAGTGATTCTTTTGCATCATTTCTCCTCTTTCCTCACCCAAAACACATTCTGAAGTTAACACAATTCAACTACACCTTTAGTAACCTTCTTATCACGGTCATCTACCAGCATCTTGAAAGCCACTGCACTGCTTCCATTGAAGGCTTTAATGCCTGCCACTATCTGGGGTTTGGCCATTCAGTCATTATTTATTTACATGTCCAACAAATATTTCTTGAACCAGACACACTGTTCTTGGTGCTGGATAATAACATATTTTCCTGTCATCAGACAACTTACATACAAATGGGGGAGTACATGTCCATTCTTGAACGATTCTGCCTAGATTCTATTTCTCAGGGTTTTTCTTTGATGGCTGTTCCTTATTCAGAATGGGTATACTGTGTGGCCAGACTAGGGATCAAAACTCTCTGCCCTCTTCATGAACATACATTCCACAGGTACTAAGTAGAAATTTGAGTACCATGCTAACCACCAAATTTCAATCTACAAATACACACAACATTTTAAACACGTGCGTTTTAAGCAGTCATATAATTTTAGCACTGTTTGATAGAATTCCTAATATTTGACAGAAGACCTAATATTTGACTCACATGAAATATAATGTAAGCATTTTACAGTAACAGTTTTCATAGTGCACACAAGCTCTTCTACAGAAAATTAGATCTTATGTCGGGTCCCGTTCTGCATTTATGAAAGATGGAAATGCAACCTAAATCTTTTAAAATGTCCATTTGAATGAAAAAAAAAAATTTCAAAATGGCTTCACAGGAAACCTTGTGTCCCCAGGATTTAGTAGATCAAGGGAGACAGGAAAATCAGTTGCCAGCCATTGGGGAAGAAAGTAAAAGAAATGGGAGATAGGAAATAAGAGTAATGGGAGGTAGCAAGATGAGTTCCCTGTCAACATAGCCTCCCCATGTAGCCTCTACAAGGACAGACATTACTATCTGAAAATATAACTACAACTGCAACAGCAGAAGGGAGCAGAGTCACTCCTAACACAAATGATGAAAACTGCAGCAAATCACACAAAGTAATAGAATAAAAAAGCTTAGAGATCGAGTCACACTAGCATATATGCTAGTAGCACCTATGTATGTAGCATAGATGCTACATACATCTAGTCACCTTGATATGCAAATGTAAAAGTTTATAAGAATGACTGGATGGGAGACTCTATTTTATTATCAATCATTTTAATAGAAACCTTCAATTAGACCATTCCTTTCCATAACGAAGTCATTTTCACATCACAGCTACATTATCCAAAATTTTTCTTCTGGGTAGCCAATGCTTTCTATGGATGGGGGCTTATTTCATCAGGATCTTTTTTTATTAAGGGGAATAATGCATGATATATTTACATCTCAGAAAGTTTATATCTCAAATCTGATTTATTATTTCTATACCACATCCCTAAAAGTATACCTTCTTTAGAAGACTTAAGTCAATACATTTTTTGACTGCTTTGGAAAAGATATTACTCTGTCCTGACTGATTCCTAGATTTAAATAAATCAACCCAGAACTGGAAGCATACCAGTCTAAAGAGAAATAAAGGCTGTCTCAGAGTAGGTAAAGACTTCTCAAAATACTATAAATAAACACTTTTAAAATCATCACATGTTAGAAATCCTTAATCAAAACTTTAAAAAAACTTTTTTAAGATGCATAATTATGAAATGGACAATTCTGGATACTGTGGAAACTTAGAAAATAGTTCATTCGTCATTATTGCTATCATGATAACTCTTCAGGAATAGACTAGTGTAATGCCGTATAAATTAACAATTAATATAGCTGAGAAGAAATTCACGAGGCTATGTAGAACAATAAGCAATCTCTCTCGTGCCTTTATTAGAATTCAAGAATTTGTAAGTATTATTAACACTGTTGGCCAGATTAATAATTTGCTGATGTCAAATTACATCCCACTTTGATTTGCTATTGCTCTCTACTGTGGAAAACATTATATAATTCTCGTTGACCTTTTGCAGTTTAATTCATGAAGCAAAGCTAATTTAAATGATATCATTCAATAAATACACATAACTCAAATATTACTATAGGTTATAGAAGAAAAAGATCACAATGCTATTGTCAAGGGTAGATGCTGTTTCCACAGGTCACCAACTACAGAAACAACAGTGTGTTCTGAAAATATGGATACACTTTTAACCAACCAAGGTAAGATCCAACTAATAATAGGTTTAAAAATACCATGATTAAAATAAAATCATTAAATTCTGAAAGTTGTAGTCATGTTATACAGTATGAGTTTGATCAATATTTGAAGAATGAAATTCCCAAAACTCACACAAATTTATACAGGCCCAAAGTTTAAATGGAATTAGGTTGGGTCCAAAATAAGACAAGATGATAGAAATTCCAAACGTTAAAACAAAAAGAAAATCCCAAATAGGAAGTGATAAAGTTGTCATTTTCTTAGACTCATTATCATTTGATGTATATCATGACTACCTTTGTTACAAATTGAAAGACACGTACAAACTATTGAAAAGTGGAAAATTTAAATAAATCACTTGTTTTTCATGTCCTGCAGGCTAAAATAAAGTTTTTTAAGTATCAATATTTATTTCAATTGAGTTCTTACTTTAGTGAATACAAAAACATATTTAAATGTGTGTGTATATATTAATATGTACATTGTGGATATATATTTTCAATTAATATGATGGCTTAATAAGGTAATTTTGGTCAATTATAAATAAAACATCTAAGAATTTAATACAAAATAGTCATTTACAAAGATATGTAGAATTCTGCTTTTGTTATACATAATCCTGCTTGGCAGTATTTCTGTTTCATATGGGATAGAAATGACATTATAGAGACATACATAGAAAGTGTTTGAAATGCAGTATTGTTTGTTCTAATCAAATGGCATTTCCACTTTAAATTTATAAAGTAAATATCAGAATATTAGAAAAGTTTAAAACATGGTAAAGCTGAATAAATTCTTCATGGCTATTTATTTATATGCACAATTAGACTGAAATAGACAAAATTACACTTTCATTTTATGATTCTCAAATAACTAATTCCCAAAGCATAGACATAAAATAATCCACAATACACCTAGAATCCAACTAAGGACATATATTAAAGATGTCAGACATATGGAATTGCATTTTTGTAAGCTTCGAATGACGTGTCTCTTTTTTCCCTAAATACATAACCAGCGGGACAGATCAGGTTTGCTAAGAGCCTCAGGAAGGTATCTGCTGGTGGAGAGTTGGCTGGGACAGCACCGCAGAACAGAGACATGGAAGGTGTTAGATGAAGGCAAATGCTTCCACCTGCAAACCTCCTGGGATTTTGTATCTCATGCTCGCATAAAGCAGAAAAGTCATAGATTCATCTGCAAAGTTGTTTGGTTTTTGCTTTTTATAAAACCAGAGAAATAGCTCTCATGCTTTTTAATGCTTTAAACGGTTAAACGACTTACCATATGACCTCCTTGTCTTGTGACCTGAGGATATGTCTTGCATGTATTAGTGTGGCTTCCGCCACCTATTGCTGACCTATTCTACCCATCAGCCCCTGCTGTGCCTAAGCAGTAGCCATTCCCTCCTGTAGAGAGTCCTCAGATGACATGATAGTGATTGTATGTACCATATTATTCCAAAGTCACTGAACATCCTATGAACATTCAAATTGTATGTATAGGGTAGACGAGTAGTTCAACAATAGTGTGTCCAAGACAGAGATAACTAGCCCCAGTTTTAGTTGTTTATTCTGTTCCCTTGTGTCCAAACAGAGCAATAGGAGGAGAAAAGAAGGAAATGGTTGTTAGTTTGATGTAGCCCTGCATTAAAATAGCAGGTGGGAAGAAAATAACAATAGTCTCTTGATCTCTAACTTCCTGTCTCTGGGATGCACTTAGATAACCCTCACTGGGAAAATGCTTCATATGCCTTAATGACACACAAATAAAATAGTGCCAGACATGAATCTACCATATTCTTTCAGTATTATTGCTTAATCTCCTATATAAAATAGATTTTAGTCTAAACTCTGTTTAGACCTGTCAAATTCACCATTGTTTGGACCTCATGGAAAATTTTAACTGTGTTACTAAGAGGATTTTTATAACCCAAATATGTGTCACAGAATCTCAGAAGCTTCTCAGATGTATTTTTAAATGCAAGAAATGTGCAGTTAATTGAATTTTTTATAGTGCTCACATATTAACAACATCCACACTCGCCAATATTTCTACTGAGAATTTTCATTGGTACCTGAAAACCCTTTGCGGTGACCTGTTATTTCAACTCTATTTCAAATAATTAAAAGCTCGTTAGATCTATTTTTAATAGTGTTTTTAGACACTTTAATCTTGCTCCATGAAGCCCTTTTCTATTTTCTCTCACTAACCTTCACTTTCCTTCCAACCTGCAGCAACCTACGAACAGCTAACTTAGGCCCCTTTTCCATACACTTTTTTCCAATATTTTCTTTTTTGCTGGTCAATTTTTCCTTTCCCCCGATTCTCCATAAATTTATTTCTCTCTACTTTGAGACCTGAAGGGTCAGCCCTTCAGCACACAGTCAGGGAGGAGCTGCTTTGAGCACAGGCATGGGGGGGCCCCATGGCAGATGGAAGAGAAATCCACCAACGTGAAGGAAGGCGATTCCCTCTGAGCGACAAATGCGCCAAAGGGCGTTTCCTCCTCAGAGAAACACAGTCTCACTTATGATCAGACACTGCCATCAGAAGGCGCCAACTGAAACTGAGTAACACGAACTGAAAGGACTGGCTTAGTTCAGGCAACTCTGGGAATTTGACAGTAATCTTTCTAACCTGCTACCTCTGTAGAGGCCCACTCTTAACCATCCTCGGCCTTAAAAGATTTATTAGAAGCATTACCTTCCCAAAGAAACTCTAGGAGTGCCAAAGAAGATTTCGGGGCACATTTTCGGGGCACATTTTAATGTGGAAACTAGAGAAAGGAAGAGTCTAAACAGGTGATCACAAACTTTATTTATGAATGCAACGAATAATAAATGTGTAAATTTGGCTGAAAATAAGATAATGGGAAGAGGTGGGACCTATGAGAATCCCAGACTTCAAGCACTACCTGTTATTATTCAATTTAAAAAATGCTAATTGTAGAAATACAGATATAAATGTTTTATGTTTATGACGACTGATCCAAAATAAAGTTTTCTAAAGTTAAAAACTAAAATATATAAATGTTATATTTAGAGGGATGATAAATATTTGTCACTGAATCCTCAAATGCTCACCCTATACAACGTACTTGTTTTGGTCGTATGACTGCACTGTGTGATATAACAAATTTTTTCTCATATATCTTATAGCTGGTCTAGATGCTTTTCGAACATTCCTAAAATCAGAGTTCAGTGAAGAAAACGTTGAGGTCTGGCTTGCCTGTGAAGACTTTAAGAAAACAGAAAGTGCAGAAAAAATTGCTTCCAAAGCCAAGATAATTAATTCTGAATTCATTGAAGCTGATGCCCCTAAAGAGGTGGGTGAAATATTCCACAATAGTGAATATTTATCTGCTAACAAATCTGCTCCCAACTGAAAGGCGCCAAGTCCATCTTGAGGGAAATTAAATTGTCACTATGTATTCAAACAGAAAATGTTGGTAAATTCAAAAAGAAGTTCCTTACCGTGATCCTCTGGCACTGATTCAGCAAATATTTTTAAGCACCTTCTATGTGCTTAAAGGTTTCTGTTTTCTGAGCACAACACACAGGCTCTTGAAAATAGTCTAATATGTCAGAAATTAACAGCTCTACAGAAATCCTACTTAAACGTGCTGCTGGATTTCAAATTCACTTTCATTTTCCCTTTTGTAAACCACGGAGGTCAATTTGGAATAAAATTTTTTAAATCAAAAAGGTATGTATGTGAGGGAAAAAACAACTACTAACCAACAGTGTAAATTCTTTACATTTAATACTTTGGAGACCCACAAACAGCATATAATAATGTCTTCCTTTCCAAAAGAGGGGTTTGCTTACCTTTATTTCGTTGATGGGTGTTGGGCTGCACCCCGCTGGCCTACGAGGCCTGCACTTGCCCAGCTTCAAGACAAAAGAAAGAGCCCGGACTCAGCGAAAGAGTCATCAATGGTTTAATGGATGGCGAAGCTTAAATGTCTGAAGCAAGGTCCTGGAGCGACACCCCACCATGTGTGGTGGACGGCGGGCAGGACGTGGTGGCCGACGTCGCAGGGGAGTCGGGGGGAATAGGGAGGTTACCATTTATAGGGGGAATTGCCATCAGCTTGGCTCATCGGTTACCAGGGAAACCAGCAGAGGGGCAGGGCCCTCTTAGCCCTTCTGGCTAAGTACCTTCTTGGGGCAGAGGTCTTCCCTTATTAAACTAACAAAGGGGAGATCACTAGCTGGGGTTGAGGGGCAAGTATGCAGAAAGGGCCTTAGAGAGAAACCTGCAATGACTCCAAGAATAGACCCCATAAAGTGTTTTATGTGTGTAACATCTCATTTATATTTGACTTCATTTCCAGAGCCAAACCATGATCATCTCTGCACACCCCCTTAATGTTTAACTATATATATTTTTTAAAACTTCTTTGATTCCTCACTAAATATAACATATGCAGAGAGTTTTAATGCATAAGCAGCAAACAGGAACCTATATGAAACTACTAGCACCAAACATAAACCACCAGCACAAGTCATCATCTTTCCCTAAAGTTGAAATACTGATATCCTCCTAAGTGACAGTTACTAAATTCTCTAATCCAAAATTAAAATTCATGGTATGAGAAGTTATTGTACTAGTGAGAACAGAGGACAGCACAGATGAAATGCAAACATCTCCAAAAATCTAGGGCATAATGTTGCCGTATCAATAGTTCAAGTTTTAGATGGACATTAATTACTGTAGCATATATTGGTAAAGTATAACATCACAGACATGTGAAACAATTGAAGCTTAGCCTGAAATTCAAAGGGGGAAAGAGAAAAGAACATAACTCCTGTGGAGCTATTTCAACATTCATTTCCCAGTCACTATCTAAAAATCAATAAATAATTCCAGAAAACTGAAAATGTATTATATAAGATTTGTCAAGTTGATTAATGTTTCATTCCCTAAAAGGCTTTGAAATCAACTCTAGACATATCCTACTTATTGTGGTATTGGTTTGAAAGCCAGATGTTTTTCTTCTTTATGAATCCATCTACTGAATGATTATTTTAAGACAACATTCTCAAATATTATGTATAAAAAATCTTCTAGTAAGAAATGTAATCTTTTAATTATAGCTGGATTCAAAGTTACAATATATAATAAATTATCAATTTGGACAAAATAGTTTTGTTTTCTTTCCTAATCTTCCCTTCCAAAATAAGTTTATATGGTAATAATTTAAAAAAATAGTACAGCTACTATTTTAGGACATAAAACTTTCATACTTTTTAATAATTTGTCCATCTAATTAATTTTTACTACATAAAATATAATTAAATTTATGGCTGCTTTTCAAATAATAGATTACATTGTCTCCTTGAAGTGTCTAAAGAGGTTATTATTGGATATGACAAAATTCTCATTGAAGACAAAGAAGTGTGTATATACATTTACAACAGTCATTGTCTTCCCAATTATTTGCCATTAATTATTTCCAATTCCAATTACTAAAGTGCATTTGTCTCTTATATACCAACTGCAGTCTTCAAGGTATCTCTCTATAGTCCATCAGTTACACATTAAATATAATATGACTGTTAGTATGATTCATTAAATGGAGTTATTTTTGAGTGCCTGTTCCCACAATGAAGTCACAGAGTAGAAGGGGAGATTGACATGTGATAAAAAACAGTCAAATACAAAATAAGCAATTTAATAATTTAAATAATTAAAGTTTGTTATTAGGACAGTGGGAAAGAGCGATTAAGTCTATCTGGAGAATTTAGGGACCGATTTGCCAGGTGGTTCACATATGAAAAAGATATGTCATTAAAAATAAGCAATATTCATCAAGAGAGCAAATGAAAAAAGAATATTTCAAACTGCGGGCACAGTGTGTAGCCTGGATGTACAAAGCTCCCTAGCGTTTTCCAGAAATCACAAGCATTTGGATACTGCTAACAAGAAGCAGGGGGATAAGGCTGGCCAGGCAGCAGTAGAGATAAAGAGAGGGTGGGAAGTAGCTTAGATTTATCTAGTAGGTGGGCTTCACATGACAAAGTGGTATATTTGATATGGAGGTTGGAAAATATTATTTTCCTAAGTGGAAAATTAATTCAAGAATGAGATTCATATGAAAGTATTCTCCATTTTTCTATATTCAATTATAGCTGTAAAACTGACTCTCATAAAGAATCAAAATTATAACCAATTTCCTTGGTAGAAAACCCTAAAACAGAGAACAATGACAAGGTCACGTTATCCAGATGTCTATTAAATCCCATTTAGTTTCTTTTCAACTTTTTATGTCTTTATTTCCTCACCTATAAAATTGCAAGCATGACAATAATTTTTAATTGATGCAAATAGACAATTTACAATTAGACTATATACTAAATTTACCAAATGATCCCTATCTATAAATTGATGTTAATAATGGTTCTCAGTTTCCTATTCTAATAGGCAAAACTGCACACAAAAATTGAAATTTCAGGTCTCTATGAGAGATAATAATAATCGCAGTGGACCTCATGCCCTCTCCTTTACAGTGTTACCATCTCTCTGGTTTCTACACTAATAATGTGATGCTGTGGAAAACCTGAAGGTTAGAGATACAGATTCAAATCCTGTAATCTTGTGGTGATCTATTTCACCCCTTTGAGCCTTAGTTTCCACATCTAAAAACGTATCTATGAAAAAGCATGTAGCAACCACACAGGAGAGATGAGAATGATGAATGAGATCAAGTGTCTAGGGTTTACATGGGGCAGAACAGGTTTTAAAAAGTTTAATCCTTTTTTTTATTTTAGTTGGAGTATAGTTGCTTTACAATGTTGTGTTAGCTTCTACTGTTAATCCCTTTTTTCTTTACACAAGTCACTGTAAGTGCTACTGAATCTACCTGAAAACATCCATTAACTAACTTCAAAGAACACTTGAGGAAAAACCACTTTAAAAGACTTGATAAATGTATATATGTGAACACAAATTAGAAGAACATGACAGCAAATCACTAGTTTCAGATAGAAAGAGCTACTCATTGAATGGATTGTACCGAAATATTTTCAGAAGGTACTGCAGGAAAAAAAAATAAGTGTGAGCCAGATATTTTGGCTAAGTGATTTGAAAATGAGAAAATTATTAGATAAGCAATATATATTTTAAAGTGGCCTTACTTTGCACACAGTAAGAACTTGTGAGTGGCAAAGAAAAAGAATTCTTAAACTTGTATTTATTCTTCCTTCAATTCAGACCACTAATTTCATAATATTTGGAAATTTTCAAAAAAATATTACTTGGTTTCAAAAGAATGTAAATCTTCAAAAAATTAAATAATATTTTTATATTCAGCTAAGACACTGACATATTTTAAGTATTTATGTTTTATTTATATCATTTATATACATTATGTTTGTATCATCACTCCCTTATATTAGAAAGAAAATTGGTCAGGATGGAAAATATGTGATTAAAGAGAAAACTATGTTGATTGTCATTCTGTGAGATTAGAAAATGTTCCAAATCATACTACATTGTAATGTTGAAAATTTAATATAAATTTAACTTCATAGTATGACCAATCCGGGAACCAATACATTGGCAGTTTCTTAAGTAAAAAATGTTAGTATAAAATATTTAATTTCTTAATGTATTTATTAAATGTGAGGACATCATAACATGAAACAGAAGAAACTATAGTCATAAAGGAAAAGATGTCTTAATGGGTTGTGCAGGACGCTTTTTAAAATACCTGTCTGGATTTTTTGCTTTTATTTTTATTGTAGTACAATGTTATTTATTGACTCGTATTTTTATTTCACATCAATAGGTGCTTATTCTGTGCCTACGATTCACCTTCATTAGATAAATTCCCTCCATTGGAAGGGAAGCTAGGTCTAGGCAAGAGAACAGGTAATAAACACAGAAGTATAATGCAATGTTTTACGTGAATGAGGCAGCTCGATAAGAAAATTCAAGAAAATAAAACAGGTTGAAACTATAGTTTGGCTCAAAAGAAACTTTCAACCTAATTGGGTTAAAAAATGAAATTTCTAGAACTGATTTCTAGGACTAAATTAAGTTCTAATTTCTAGAACTTCGCTATTTTTTTCTAGGAAAAAAAAATAGGAAAGCAACAAATGATTAAGTGCAAAAAAAAAAAAGAAAAGTAAGAGGTGAAATTGTTTGCATTATACCTAAAAGGACATAATGATTGAATAGTTCTGAGGCAGGATATTGAGATAAGGCCTTTATTTTAAATGAGGTTAGTTTTAAACTGAGTCTTGAGGGAAGAGATAGATATATGAATTCTTGGTAGAGAGAAGCCCGTGGGCAACTAGAGGCGTTTCCTGATATTACTGG